GCAGCATTTCGCGACCTGCGACGCAGCGACTGTCGCGCTGCTACCGGCTACTCGAGTCTTCGGGCCCAGCGCGCCCTCCGCCGTGATCGCGAAATGCTGCTCATGAATATGAGCCTCTAGCATGGCTTGAAACTAGTCGAGTTCCTCGTCAAATTATTACGTGAGTAAGTTGAAAACATAATAATTTATTTAGTATGTCTCAAGAAAGTTACAATACAAACAATTAGAATATCACAAAAAAAAACCGAAGTAATTTTGAATTCTCCATAGCTTTAAAAATAGCACACAAATCGACTAGTACTCTCATTGTACTAAAACAATATACTCGTTATTTCTACGATTTATTAACCGACTTCCAAAAAAAGGGGATTATCAGTGTCAATTTAAGATTCACAAAATACTACCTTATATACTAGGATACATGTCATGTTTTTAAATACATCGATTAGGTATACATAGTTATTGATAAAGTACAAATTATACTACGGCCAAATTGTATGTGAAATGTTCGTAAAGAAATCGTAAAGGTACAAAGAACTACATAATTCCGCGGCGGGCTGTCACACTCTCTCTCTATTTACTGACAGTTCTCAGTGATGACAAAATGATAGAAGCCAGGGCCGTATTCTCCCTAAGGCAGACTAGGCAATCGCTTAGGGCGCCAAACAGGGGGGCGTGACGCGCATGCCCAATTGCACATAGAGTATTCGGGCCCCTATGACGTGCGTGCCTAGGACGCTCTTTACGTTAAATCCGTCTTTGATAGAAGCACAGAAAAGTGCTATTCAATTGTATTCTTTATTGTTCTTTAAAATAAAAACATTTCACATAGATTTTGGCGCCTTACATTTTTATGTTATAAGCAACACTATTTAGTCAGAATATTCTTATAGAAATGACTTAATACTAACATAGGTACAATAAATGAGTACCTTAATACAAAAATTTCTAATCTCAGACTGATAGTACATTTTAAAAATGTCTTCATCAAATACAAAATAAGCCTTCACTTTGAGCAAATCTTTTCATCATTCCTAAACAATCAGTCTTCAATAGCCAATACCCACCATTTTAATTTTAAAAATACAACTTTTAGCATGTACTATCTGTCAGTTTAACTAATCAGATACTTGTAAAGGAACATAAAAAACTAGGATTAAATTTTTGGAATGCATTTTTTATAAACCGACAATAGGTTTAAACTTTGGTATGAGTCATTGAAATAGTTATAAAGATTAGGATATGTTATATTCAGTGGCGTAACTACAGGGTAGTAACTCCGGCAAAATGACACGGGCCCCCAGATAGAAGGGGCCCCGTTGATAGGCTTTTATCTGAACTTCCCTGCTTTTATTGCGAACGGGCCGATGAATGTGCCACGGGCCCCGAACGGCATAGTTACGCCACTGGTTACAACAATTTGAACAAAGAGGTGCAAAAGAGCACTATTTACCTTTATTTTAACCTAATTACGATTAAAAATATCTAAATCAGTGAATCTTGTATATGATTGACGATAATCAACTAATATTTCACGATACATTTAATACAACATAGTTTACCTACATATTATGCAGCTTACAAATAGTAAATTGTTGACTTAAGTCATCCATTTCAGTTTGTGCTCCTACTATAAAGTATTATAGAAACGTAATATACGCAATAAGATAGAAATATCTACTATAAATATAAAATTTTGACGCGTTATTAACCTTAAATTACTAAAGAATAATCGTATACGATTTTGTCAAAAATACGAATTTTAATTACGTTGACTCACGAGAACTATTCGAGGAGCGCCTTATTAGTTCCAAGTAACATCGGAACTTTTATTCATCGCGTATTTAACATACCATTGTAGTATAGGTTCATATATCTCCTACCCGATTTCAGTGATGACGATCAATTTTAAGTAAAACTAGTAGACAAGTTGCGCAGGAGATACTATAGTGCACTCACAGGTGCACTCTCTGTTCGCTCACTTTGATATACAGAGGTTTACCAGACAAAACTAGAAAGAAATTAGTTGCCGATGCACGGAAAACCAACACACAATCATAATTGCGAGAATAACTTTCGTTTGTCAGCTCTATTCGTTTTATTTACTCAACTAATCTTCTTGAAATTTCGCATACATATAGTTGGGAGTACGGACAAGGATAATTAATACACGCGTCCAAATCCGAGAGTAAAAGCTAGTACGTCATCATTTGTTCTACAAATGTATCATTGTATGGACGACGTCATTTAGACGTGCCGTGGGCTCGAATTTTAGAACCTACTGCATTTATATAACTAGATTTTCAGTCTATATAAATATTTAAGTAGGTTAATACTTATAAATTGAGCTTTATATAATATTGTACTTAATCCTGTCAGGATAGCGGGCGAGACTAGATATACATATACCGTGGCCCCGGTTTGGAACAGGAGTGGAATGGGGACAGAGCCGTATTACCTAAGGCAAATTAGGCAAGTACTTAGGGCGCCAAGATGCAGAGGGGCGCCACGAAACGCGAGTGCCCAACAGCTTATAGAATGACGGCGCCGACGCCAAGTAAAATTAGGGGAGCCTATGAGGCATTTGCCTAGCTAAGGCTAGATTTTTAGGGCTCTTTATTTAGTCCCCTGAACAGTGTTATTTTTGGTCAGTAAGAGTTGGGGGGGGCTCTCACAAAAGCATATGTTTTAAAATAAAGAGGTTAATTTAAATAATTTAAGATGATTTGCGTTCACATACCTCTCGGCTACGTTGTATGCGCAGGAGCAGGTTTTTGAACTTTGTACTCCCTTGCACCTTCAAGGACAAAAGAAAAATAAAAAAATAATGCTTTTCTCAAAATCTGAAGGTTTTTCATTTTATGGGTAGGTTTATAGGTAGGCCTCGTCTCACACGGGGAAGGTTCAAGCATTAATCACCCCGCTTGCCGAATGCGGGTTGGCGATTTCAAACTTATAATTCAAAATTATAAGCCCAGGTTTCCTAACGATGTTTTCTTTCACAGTTTGTCAGTGGTGTCTAAATAATCTTAGAAAGTACATATAACTCGGAAAATGTCACATTGGTACTTGCCGACGAAGGTTGAGAGCCGCACCCTCACGTATGAGAAACGGGCGTCTTAAACCTTCGGGCCACCACGACGTTGTGCGTTTTTTGAGTGAGTGAGTCATCTTTAATGTGACCTGTTAATCCTAACCCCTGGTACTAAGGGCACTCCTAACGGTTGAACACTCCAGTCCTTTTCGTAATCCTACTTCAGCCAATCTTTTTGACATGACTAAAACATCTTAGCACCGTTTTTAACAACACCCTTCACATGTGAAGACTAGAATATTTCGAGATTCGAGAGCCACCGTGTCAACGACTCCTGAGGATGCTCCGTGGAGGAGCGAAACATATATCGAGTGTAGTTCGATTGGTTTATTGTATGTCGTGTGTATTTTGTTTCGCATCTCTGCTGCATAAGCATTTATCTACGGGCTGGAGGGCGGTGCTGTATACTGCATGCTAGCAAATTCATTTGTTCAGCGGAATAAAAACTAAATATTTTCCAGATGTTGGCCTGGCTATATAGTCCGAGGATATAGTCCTAATGACCTATAGATACTTCCCAAGGGCCACTCCCCCTATCCTCTAAAAAGCTGGTTACGCAAATTAAACTTTGGTATTGCGGGTGTTTTTTTTTTAAGGGGGGAAAATCATCGAATGTTTCTCCCGCCTGGGTGAGGCGGGAAGGAGTGTCAGATTCTTACTGACTAAAAACCACCCCGTTACTTCTCTTGCTCTTCGAGCCGGAGCCCTGGCAACCCGTTAAGTCTTCTGCGGCTCCGTATCGGCATCAGCCTGGTGGTCTGATAGCTCTATGAGGCGCGCGCGATTGCGGGTGTCTATGCGACGCCGATGGTCTATCATCAAGAGTTTCGTTGCGTTTGCCGGCCTATCCTATAAAAAGGAACTACAAATAACCTGCCAGACCCAGTATTTATTTTCATATCACATGTTATATTCATGTGTCTATGTAGCAGATTACTAACTACACACCCAAGGAAGTAGATATTTCAACCGACTTCAAAAAATAGGAGGAGGTTCTCAATTCGACTGTATTTTTTTTAATGTTTGTTACTCGATTACTAGAAGACGCCTGGACCGATTTCAAAAATTCTTTTTTGTTTGAAACCGAGGGGAATTAATTTTTTCGTTAAGTATTTAAAACCACTACAATCTGATAACGGTCTGGAGCTGATCTGATGATGGAGCCGATAGGCAGTCGAGGGAACTCCTCAACGTTTAACAGTAGCTACATTGTGTTTGGGTTTGATTGATTTGTATTGATGAGGACTTTATACCTAGGTGGTATGTGATTGCCAATAAGGGTCTGATGATGAAGTAGTACCATAGTTGAGGGAACTCCTCAACGGTTTAATTTGTTTTGAACTTTTAAGATTAATGTCCCATTTTCAGAATAATACGGCGTGTCTTAGGATTTTTTCCTATTTAGTTTTTTGTATTCAATGACTCCCGCCTTGGGTGCGACCACACTTTGGGCAAAGGGCCGTACGTTCGGGTCTGGTTTTGGTTGGTTCTGGTTAAGCGCGGGTTTGCGGACGGCGAGCAAAGATAGCTCGCCGCCCACAGACCCGCGCTTATGGTGGTCGGAGATCATCTAGCGATCCCAGACGCCCAGAGTGTCTCTCGAGTAGGCTGGGGCGTGAAGAGGATCGTTCCCTAACGTGCCTCCTTAGCTAGCATGACTGCTTCGCAGCAGAAATCAGTTTCCCAGATCCTTGCGCTCCGAGTCATGGCCTGAACTAAAATCGGACGCGAAAGAATTCGCTTCACTGATGGATCTGACGGTCTATTCTGTCGATACAAAAGTACGTGTGTGCATCTCTGCCTACCCTTTTGGGGCAAAAAAGCTGTAGATAAGGTTGTTTATGTTAATAATGCATGACAGCTGTTAGTAAGAAAAAAAATAACCAAAAATAATTTTTACACTAAGTATTTATTACAAAAAATAACATTGAAATGAAAATAACAGAAAGGAAAGAAACAAAAACAGAAATATGTACAATATTTTGGGTTTCCGAGTTCGTAGATCTCAAAATGATCTCAGAAGACAATTATCGCCGTTTTCACCGACAACCCCTAAACCATCTCTTAACTAAAAGCCACTTAGCGAGACTCGGAAAGGAATCACCTATAGATTGGTGAAAATCATAATGTTAAACGTCATCTTGGCTAAGGAATTTCTAAAATTTAGGAAAGATTTGGGAAAACGGGGATTAGTGCTTCAAGATTGTACTTAAAACATACATTTTAGACTAACTGACAGACAGGACACTGTTAAAGGCAAATATTAAACCAACGTAGATCAACATGATCAGTTAGCTAACGAAATCAAACAATAAAAAACAACAAAAGAATAAAAAAACAATCAAAATATCATTTTTACTTAAAAATGTCATTGTTTCATAAAAACAGTAATAAATACTTAATATACTTACAACTATCATGCACACACGAAATTAAAAGTTAAAAAATAAAATGACAAACATTGTCAAACAATTTCGATAAATTCTGAGTACCTTCGGTCCTCGTGAATTTATTGTTTATTTATATATAACCTTATCTACAATATAATTCATTATAGAACATACATTTATTTTTTTACAATGCCCCACAAAGGGATGGCCCTTAACAAAACAACAATATGGCCGCCTATCTTCTTAATGGTCTAAAGTATCACCCCTTTATGCTTTGTAACGACTTTTCAAGACGCTATATATTAAAATTAATAATACTTTAGAATCTGACTAAAACTCAAGAATGGATGCACCAAATTGGTTAATTATGATCTTGACGTTAGCCACTGGGCCTCTGGTAACCTCACTCACAAGGCGAAACATAACGTAAGCATTATTTCATGCAGATTTTCAAACAGTTGTCAGAGGCCCAATAATACCGAAGCATGGTTCTCCCACATAAACATAGTCTCCGTTAAAAGTACCTTTAGAATACTAGAAAGCTACATCTTCATAGACCTGATTCATTTCAGCTTTCGCAAATAATCTGAAGTAATACACCATCAGCCAGTAACTACCGTACAGCAAACAAAGGCATCTTCTCACACGGAGAAGGTATGAGCATTAATCACCACGCTAGCTCAAGGCGGGTTGGCAAATTCAAACTTATACATTGTTTTCTGTTTCCTTCACCGCATATCTGTGGTGTCTAAATAATCTTAGAAAGTACATATAACCTGACAAGCGTGATGATTTTAGCAAACCTAAGAAAGATACTCTTTGTTCAGCTTCAGATATCCTGGCTGATAATGGTAATGTTGGTTGGACACTTCAGTCTAGCTGCAGCGTAATGAGTACGAAGTATAAGCTTTTGAACTTTTATTATAATAGGCTTAAAATGCATTTTGGTTTCAATAAACACACTGCTATCATACTGCATCATACAAAACTGTGCGAATGGAATATAGCCATTTAAAAACTCCATACAATTATAAACAACTTTTTAAGTGTTCAATAGAACTCGATTGATCCACTAGGATCCCTTACTTCGATCCGAAAGGGAAAAACATAATTTTCTGTAAATACAAATACAGATTATACAATGAACTATTCTCGATATTAAAATACTCGATCGAGTACGAAATATCGAAATCCATAATCTGACAATAGTCGACGGCGAATTTTGAAAGGGGGCAAGAAATCTGGCAAGACGCGAAGATGACAGTCTGAGTAAAATTTTAGAATTCAGTAAAAAGAACAATATCGTACTAAAAGAGATAGGGTACACGATATTAGAATCGTTAGAAGCAGTTGCATAAGCGATGTACGAAACAGAAATAAAGGAGAAAGTCTATAGACACTAGTAGCGAAAGAATTTAAAGTTTAAAAAAGCCTAGACCTATGAATAGAAACCCAATTTGAAATACAACCACTCCATCAACGAGACATTCGTTAAGTTAATACTTATACTTGTCATATGTAAAGGTACTATCGTCGTAGAAACTATTATCGCTATCACTGTCCTCCTCTCGGTGTTGTATCATATCCTTAAAAGGGTTCACTACCTCAAATTCCTCATCAGACGACACTTCAATTGTCTCCATGTCATACGCTATCCATTTCGGCACCTTACGGTCTGTGGTCAACGACAACCATTTTTGAGACCTGCGTTTAAACAACTTAACCAATATATATTGACCTTTGTTAGCATGTGAACAGTTTTTCAACGTAACTACGCCGTATAATTCTATGTCAAATCCGTACGATGTATCTTGAACCTTCGCCGCCATACTTAATCCCCTATCTTTAATAGTCAAATCATAATTATCGACGATCAATTGAATTTTTAGCGTAACTAAAGTTCGTGTTTGTGACCATAAAACTTTAGGTTTACAAATTACTTCTGCGCTGTTTTGGACATCTTCAACATTAGGTTTTATATCATCGACTTTAGGTTTGATATCATCCACTGTGGGAGTTTTAACTTCTTCAACAATGGCTGTTGTTTCGACTACATAGTTCTCATCTGTTATACTACTTTTTGCGTCCTCAGTATCGGTTTTTATATTATCATCATCAACTACATTCTTTTCATTTGTCTCCGCAGGTATATCGTATGTTAAAGGTAAAGCAACATCTTGTTCAGACCACATTGCATCTGGGAGTTCTTTTATACCCACTATTTGAGACAATGGTGCAGGTAACAGAGCCTCGGGATCGTCAGCTACGAAGTCAAATTCATCATCTGCCTCGTCATCATAATCGGTAACCGGTACATATTGGACAATATTATTAGAAGACGACTGTTGGCTTGTATTATTTAAGAATATAGATTTATCTATTTGACTTGTCGACGGTTTGGGTTCGTCCTCCTCTATATCAGATGGGACTTCTCCTTTCTTTTCGAATCCTACATCATTTAAAAGATCTACCTCATCATTTTCTTCCGCCAAATTCTTTTCAATCAACATTTCATTAATGATTATATCGTCCTCGGAATATGTATCAATTAAAACGACACCGTATTTGTGACCTTCTGTTACTGTAGCTTTTTCCTTTTTAAAATATTTTATGTATAACAATTTATGCTTATCGGCGTCATCGAAGCACGAGTTAGTAAAGAAATTAGTTGTGAAATCCGTCCAGTTTTCACCGAATGGCTTGACACCCACCAGTCTACATTCAATGGCTTGGAATGGCAGTTGAGTGATAAATTTTTCAGTGATAGGTAAAATTTTATTTACAGATATTTCCCTCCATTCCGCTTGGTCCACAAAGAAGCATTTAGCTTTACCATTAGTGACGCTACTCTCTACTCTAGCCCTTTCAAATGTAGTATCATCTGGGTACTCAGCGATTACAATATCTCCTTGATTGATCTCTTCTTTCGGTTGAGGGTTCTCAGCTACATGCAATTTAATATCATTTATAAGTGCAGTGAGACATTTCTCAAATTTATTATGTCTGACAAAGAATTGATCAGGATGGTCGGCTGTCATGAGCATTACCGTAGAAAATACACCGTCTTCTAAATGAGCCCATCGGCATTTTGGCAAGGGCTTAGCTAATGGTTTTGGAGGCTTTACATACTGTGTTTTGTTTTCGTCATTGATGACAACAAAATCGCATATGTTCTTTAAATTATTTATATGATCAGGGCAAGGTACGGCATGCCCATCTAGAAGTTCTTGACGCAGATTATGTTTCACAACTACTTCTTTCAACGAAGACAATTCTTGGCAGACTTCTAAGTTTTCTACTAAAACGGTGTTTCCAATGACCATTGCGATTTGACCTCTCACAAACACGTCTTCGCTCTCTTCAATAAATTGTTTAATATGTTTTTCAGCTAGATCTGAGTACGTTACGTCTTTATCTTCAGGTCTTATGTTAGCCAGTGCAACATTAACGACATAAGTTTCAATATTCTTTAATTCTTCAGGCAAATGGTACAACGACGTATCAGAAACGTATTTGTAAATTTCTTCGTCTATTAGTTTGATCAATACATTATTTCCTTTGGAGTTCGCAACTTTAATGATTTGGCAGCGCACGAATAGGTTTTGCTTCAGCGTGACCGCGCAGATGTCTCCAGCTGTCAAAATTCCTTGAAGTCTTTTATTAGACTCCTTACTATAATACATGCCCATTTTAAGCGAAAGTAAGCTATAATTCTGGGGTAACGTTTTCGTTTCTCTATCCCGTGACGTGTAGGACAAAAGTCTAGCGGAGTAGTGAGCAGCGGAATGATAATTCATAACTCTAAAATTAATAACACCATCTTTAGGCAGCCATTCTTTCGGCGCATCGTACTCTTCGAACATACAGTGTCTATCGAAACAATTCCAATAATTTGGACATTCTCCCAATGTTAAAAGCATTTTGCAAATCGGCGCTAAGCTCTTAGCTAACACTAAGTTCTTCTCTCTCACAACTTTCGACGTTAATTCGTCTAAATGCGGTGGAACATCACGCATGCATCTCTTAACAAAATGCAGTATCTTTGGCAAAGCTTCGATATTACTGTTATCAAGCAATATTTTAATTTTTACATTACTTTCTTCCTCATTGAAAACAGACCTATAGTTTTCATTTAATACAGCAAATCTATTGCAGAACATTGAAAATAACTTGGGCAAAGAATATTGGATCAAATAATGAGCGTCCGACACGTTCAAATGAGTCAAATTTCCGTCACAACAGACTAAAATAGGACCTAACACCGGCTCTTGATACTCTTTAAGCGCCTTATCTAAAGCGTACAAATCTTCTACTGTCATCGTACTATCACACGAGAACACTATATGTTTTAGATTAATCAGAGTGTCAGCAATAAATTTTACTTCGTGATTCGATTTACATACAATAACCGTCTTTTTAGATTTATCAATGTTTTGTAAAAATTTAATGACTGAAGCTATTTTTTTCTCTTCGGCGAGAAATTCGACGCTAGTAGCAGCTTTTGAGTACAGTACGCACTCTTCAAAGGCGGAGATGCACACTATGGAGTCAGGGGCTTTCTTGGCTAAAGTCGACATGAAATCGCACCAAATTCGCGAGACAGCTATAAACTGACACTTCCATTCTCTATGCGGCCGCTTCTTAACGACATCAAATACTTTCATCACGCAGAACTTGATCTCTTTAGAATAGAATTTCGATATGTACTCGCAATCGTCGATAACAAACGTCGAAATATAATGAAGATCAAGACTTAGGTCTTTTTGAATAAGACGTACTAGCATAGAAGGGGTGCATACGAGAATATCGCAACCATTTAGAAGGGAGGTCGTAATGAATAAATCGGACATACCGGCGTGGCATGCAAAGACTGTTAAGTTGTGAACGAGGATTTTACAGATGTTTTGGACATGTTGCAAAGAACGAGAGGTAGCACAAACGATAATGCACCTCAATTGACATTTGTCCTTAGATTCTTTATAATCACTGGTTAGACGGCACACGGCTGGTAAATACCCCATTGTGTTTCCACTTTTGTGGGGACTAACGACAAAGAAGCTGTGTCCACGTAGTATGGACATCCAAGACACGGTCTGCGTTTTCATAGGTCTCGTGATCTGCATATCACGTAGCACACAATGAATGTTGTCACCGAACGGTATGTCTCTCAAATTAGTCACAGGCTGCACGTGATTCCCTTTCTTAGTATGCACCATAAGAACTGGCGTGGTTAACTTATCTACAAACACGGAAATGGTACCGTCCAAATTTCTATACGGATTGACATTTGGTTTTTGTGCGCGTCCACCTACAATTTCAACGTTTTCAATTGGTTTATCGTGTTTTTTGTATGTTTCACGTAATTCTTGATCTAGGACCGACATATCGTCGTCAAAATCATTGTTATTATCAGGCTTAGAAAAAACAGTAGTAAGTTTCTTGCGTTCCGCCAAAATCTCACGTTTGCGTTTCAGAAGTTCGAAAGCCTTGTTCCGAGAGGTCTCGGGTTGAGTTACAACATTGTTTTGTGTACATTGCAATACAGTTTTCGAGTTAGATAATATAGAATTTACCTCTGGGGTTGTGTTTGCATACATATTCTTCTCTTCTGTTTCTTTCCTTCTTTCTTCTTCATCTGCTGAACGAGGTTTGATCATGAACTTGGTATGCGACAGCCCAGCTGGACCGTATGCGATGTTTCGTACTTCTTGACCAGCGCCCGTCTGTGGTTTTCGACCTGAAATAGAAAGATTACATTAGCTTATGATAACCACTAAAACTAGATAGAACATAGTCTACTATTTTTCAATTTAGAGAAACAAAAATTATCTACAATGGGGATGATGACAGGGTATGAAAATTAAAAATATAATTAGTCCGTAACTTAGGTAATAAAAAAATATTAGACACGTATTTTTTTATTTTGTTGTATAATAAAACAATACTTAGATAAAACGAATCAAAGTTTAGGAGTGGGGGCTAAAACGTCATTTCTTAGTATAAAATGTACTGAGAAGTGACGTCACGCGACATTTCAAATCAATATATCTTCGAAACTATTCGTTTCCGTAAGAAAATAAAAAATACGTGTCTAATGTTTTTAAATAATCTACCAGACGGACATTAAAATAAAAATTAGTCGTCTACCCCATTTCGAAATTCTTAACGAATAGGGATTATTAAATTCCATGGTCGTAAAACGTAAAAAAAAATATGTTATTTAATAACGGCAAAACAGAAATGTAAAGTGAACTAATTATTAATAACTAAATTGGAAACAAACACTCACCAGAGTCCCGGTTACAACGATTGTAATTTTGATTGTTCCCATCGTTGTCCTGGTTGTTGTGATCGTTATTCTGGTTATTACGATAGTTGTTGGAGTTGTTGCGATAGTTATTCGAGTTGTTGTGAAAGTTGTTCGAGTTGTTGCGATAGTTATTCGAGTTGTTGCGATGGTTGTTCGTGTTGTTGCGATAGTTGTTCGTGTCGTTGCGATAATTGGTTTGGGTGACGCGATAGTTATTCTGACGATGTGCCTGGTTATTTTGATCACAATTTTGGTCATCACCATCATTAAATGAATTGCGTCGGAAATCACGACAACCACTGTTAGAGGAAAATTGTGAGGCTTCCGATTTTCCGGAGGGATTATTTTCATTTCTGTTATAACGATTATTCTCGTTATTGTTTCTAAAATTACGATTATTTGTATTCATGAAGCGATTGGGAACATGATGCTTCTTGCCTTCAGGGTTCACGTTGGTTTCGTCGTCGGAGAAAGTCGTGTTACATTCAGATCCATTGCCCCGTTTCCTATTTTCCTTTGCTTTCTGTGACAACCACTCAAACTTGTTTTTCCAGTTGACATTGACATTGGTATCATTGGTAGTCTCAGCAGTAGATCTAAATCGCCTCAGACTATTCGCGCGACCAGCAGAAACCTCATCAACGCCCTTGCAGAGCTTCAAATCGTTCATCTTGTTCTGCAAAACACTTTGAACCGTTTCATGACCTTGAAGAGCAATTTTGCGGTTCTTGATCGCCTCTTCTAACTCTTGGGCTTCTTCGAAAACTAACGTTTGCTGTCGGAGAACGAGCAGCCAAATTTTCTCCGGTATCGTTCTTGTTATAAATCCTTCTTTCAACTTCTTGATGACATCGTGTTCGGCGACGTAACCAAGCTTGGTTTTAAGGTTGTTCGTAACCAGCTTCTGGTGGAATATATGCTCGTCGGCATAAGCAAAGCCGGACTGGACTACTTCGTCTGATAAATTGATGGTCTTGCCATCTTTTTTGAAGATGCATATGTCGCCAAACTTGTGGGTGTTGTCGTCGAAGATAGATGACCTGGTGATAAAGAGATATCATTAGTATAATATGATAATGTACATGTGAAATGAAATATAGACATGGATGAATGTAATTTTACAAATATTCATATTAACCTTTTGACTGCGGTATAAGAAAATCAATGAAAAGCTTATATTGCTAAACACAAAGGGTCTTTCGGGTCGCATTTCTAACTACAATTTCATAAACTAACTAATTCCACATTCGTCTTGATATTTAAACATATAGAACAATCTACTGACTAATAAAACAAAGCCGAAGAATTTGTTTGTTTGTTTGAACATGCTAATCTCCGTGCACGGATTGCTATACACACATTATAGCTTCGTGAAAATTATTCACACAAGTCAAGAAGATTTTATCCTGCCCAAGTAAAGTAAAAAAGGATTATACCGAACCGGTCAAGATCAGGGATTTGACTGAAAACCAACAAGTTAGGTTGGATCCAAAGATTGTGATTATATCAGAACCCCCAGTCTAGCCAAATCTGGATGGAATTAGGAAATTGTAATCTTGTTATTGGATAAAAAGTGTGTATAATAATAATAATGATTGATTATTTGTCAA